TCGAGGAGGAAACGGGACAATCCAGGGTGGGAACCCGTCATTTTTCTTCTTTTCTTTAACATCGCATCTTAGATTTCTGTTTTGTTTCGTGATATTATGTAACCACTCCCCGATGCTTGGAAACGGGAACATGATATACACAAAAAAGGTTGCTGGAGGACAAATCAGATATAGAACATAATCTATAACACACCCTCTATTTAGTCCATATGAATTGATCCTGCCACAAGCCTACATCAGGTTACCCCGGATACATTCACAAGGCGAGGCTGCTTTTAAAATTTGGCCAATATCGGATTCCAGTGTGAACTGGTCTTCGTCCTGAGCTGACCCGAGCGTGTATAAGAACCACAACAAAGGACGTCACTAACAGCTCATTATAGCGCAGAAAGAAAGTTGGAGTGTCTTTATGTCGGCGTTTACGGTTTAATTTATAAGGTCATGAGCGGTGGAAGCCAGAGTATCCGCGGGGGGAAGAATGCGAGGGCAAGGAGGAGAACGCTTCGGCTTCTTGTGTTCTGCTGCGGCGGCTACTTTTCTCCTCCTGCGAAGTTTAAAACGCAGAGTGTGAACGAGGAGTGTGTGGAATAAAAACAAAAACAGGTTCAGGCCAGAAAGTCAGGACCAAACGGGCCGCTTTCCAACATGTGTGCGATCGCTTGAACAGGATCTTGAAGAAGGTTGATTTCAAGAGATGTGGAGGTTGAATGATTTTCTTTCCAACACAGAGACGATACCTGTGCAGGCCGCCCAAGTATACAGACCATTTTTATAGTATGACAGTGAAGGTGTGTGTGTCTCCTTTTACTACTCGAGATGTTCTGATATCAATTTTTCCCTACTGATATTGATCCCGATAACTGTGCTGTGGGTATCGGCCAATACCGAGTATCGATCTGATACCAGTATGTTATAAAAAAATATCAGACCAGGCCTGCATGACTGTGATAGGATTATCATTGAGGTCTGGCTCAGATTAAACACTTTATAAAACACACATAAATACTATTTTTAAATAGAACAGTATAAATATCAGCAGTTTTACTAAATAAATCTAGGAATAATTATTTTTAAAAAAATTAAAGTGCAGCCACAATATTTTTAAATAAAAAGGGAATTTAAACAGAACAGAGCTGACAGAGCTAACCAGTAAATAAATTACTAGTTTAATAAAATACGTGGTATCAGATCGGTGCCTGAACTCCAGGACTTGCAGATACCGATGTTAGCATTTTTGGCAGTACTGGAGCATGTCCTGATACTGATATCAGAATCGGAACAACTCTATTTACAACTATACTGTATATTGTTTATGTATGGATATGTATAGATAGTGTACATAATTAGATATGTCTTTATTTTTTTGTTGTATAGCCTATTCACACCTGCAGTAACCAACACTGTGTATTTATTTTTAGCATATTCATTGCACACACATACATATATATAGTATATTCAGTTCATACCTGCACTGCCCGTATGTACATACTTTGCACTTTACTACCTTGCACTTCTGGTTAGATGCTAAACTGCATTTCATTGTTCCTGTACTTGTACGGTGATCAATGGCAATAAAATTGAATCTAATCTAATCTAAACTAAAATAAGGGCGAAACCAGATTGTGAGCCATTAAATCTAATTTCAGGTCTGTTCTCATGTCCAAATTCATTTATAATGGTTCAGTAAATATGAATGTGAATACACCTGTGCACATCAGAACTTTTGAATGATGCATTAATGTGCTGTAACCAATCAGGCCAGGGGGCTGAATACTTACTGTAATTGTTGAAGAATACAAACTGATAATTAACTAAAACAAAGTGAAAACTGGTAATTACTAATAACAGGCTACAGTCAGGTCCTGTTTGACGATCCTGGAACGTCAGTAAAGAGTGTAAGACTCTAATATGAGTGAACTGGATCATCCACCATTTTATGAGATACAAGTGAGATCCTCCCTGTCTTACATGAACGATGCTAACATTTTGTTAATGTCCTTAATTATCAGAAAGTTGAGCTGAAGTTACGCGGCGATGACGAGCGTTCAGATTCAGGTCTGTGTCTAATCCCTGGAATAACTGCCTCTTGGTCGAGCGTCTCTGTTTGTATATTAGAAATACTTTGGAGAATACAAAGCCCTAAAAAAAACATCAGTTGGCCTACATCCGGCAGGAGAGGTTACATCACAATCATTTAGAGGAGGGACGCAACACTCGACTACAAAGCTCGCTCTCTGTTTTCCTGGAGAGCGTCAGATCGGTGCGTCCCGTTCTCGTGACGGCAGAACGAAAAGACGCACGAGGAGTAAATCGATCGAGGACGGCGTTACTGGGACTGATAAAGGAAATAATACATTAACCACAGAGTAATTGTATTTCCTCCTGGCATTGCTGGGGTGTGAGTCCTATAAACGTGGGACAAATTCAGAGTCATGGAGATTTTTGAACACCAAATCTGGGTCAGCTTGTCCAAGTATTGGCTCCAAATTCGGGGGTCTTCCTCAGATCTCACATTCAGGGGACCGTTATCAGTTTTTAGACCGGATTATGACCTTTAACTTTGTCGTCAGCACATTGGACACAGCTTTGAGAGGACCCTGCAGAACAAATCCTGGTTAACAATCTCAAATGTACAATTCATCTCCCTCTCTGAATCTGTAGGACGTTTTGTTTAAACCGCCGTCTTTCTCATTAGCCTTATCTGTGCTTACTCTGCAAATTTTGACAAGCCAACCAGTCCAAACAGTCCCGGCCAAATAATCCCATCAACGTGCTCTGGGTCTATCCCAATTGGGCGTACCTGGAAAAGCTCCAGTGGGAGGTTTCCAAAAGGAGGCACCCTAATCAGCCGAGCCACCACATCTGACTCCTTTCAGTGCCAGGGAGCGGTTAGCTCTTATCTCGGAGGGTGAGCTAATCCACACACCTATTACAGCTGCTTGTATCTGTGATCTTACTCTCTGGACAATACCCAAACACAATGAGTGAGTCTGGGTAATCTGCTGAGACTTGGTCCCCGAGCGTCCGCTAAAAAACCCGTCTGCGATGGACATGTGGAGCAGCTTCATGTCGAATAGATGTTTCTGCTCCCCGCTGTGAGAGAACAACCCCTCCAGAGGACCGGCAACTGGAAACAGGCTTTTTCCACAGACTGAAATATCACAGCTCGAGGGGTCCTGTGCATGTCGAGCTGCTGAAACTGCACAGAGGTGTGTGGTGGGGCGCTGTGTGTGTGTGAATCACAGCTGGGAGGTATTACACTCACCTTTTGATGTCAGTGGGCGAAGGCAGAGAGTAAAAACGTGAAGCTCTGTGTGTGTTTCTTAGGTTTGTTTGGCAGCAACCGAAAGCTAATCAACATCTTACCAGATCCATAATCCTCATGTGTTTACAATCTAGCTGGAATTTCGGCGTCCTGTCTGTTCTGTACCCGCATCCACATCAGGTCTGTAAACCTTGGAAGAGGGACACGCCTTCGCTATTCCCCCTGATTATTTCCTGGTAAAACACTTTTTTTATCTGAGTGGAGAAGGAGTTTAAACGAAGAACTTATACGACACTTTCCAGCGTTAAAGGGATATGCCGGTGAAAAATTAATTCAGGGTTGAACACACCGTAACACCGAGTCAGACAACCCCGCGAGAGATGAATGTTGCCGACCGTTTGCTTCTCTAGTTATACCAACTTTAGTAACGACCGCAGGATAGTAATACAGAGAGCTAAATGCTCATCCAAAACGCCACTCTATAACCACGAATAATGCTCAGAACAGCACCTAACTTCATCAACAGGACATATAGGGTCACAGCCACCAAACATCTTTTTAACTTTGCCAATTTTCTTTGGCAAAGAGACTAAACACAACTCACCTACTCTCTTCCAGCAGCCGCTTGTTTGTAGAGAGACCTTCGGCCAGCCCATTACTGACTACAGTGGGGTGACACAGCTCAAGGAAGAACATTTATGATCAACGAATTATGAGAAACAAGCGGTCGGCAACATTCTTCTCTTGAGGGGGCGTCTAACTCTGTCTAATATCCCTTCAATGCTGAACAATATCTCCATGTTTAGGAGCAATAAGGCTCTGTAGTTGGAGTCACCGCATGGGCTTAATATCACTTGTCCATGAACTATCCCGAGGTCTACAGAATCAAAATCTAACACTCTTTTGGAAAGGACAACTGGACTTAGTTGTCCTTTCAACGAAGAATTGGAAATCATAGATGCTGCATCCTCAGTTTTAACCCTCACCCTAAATTAATTTCACTGAGATATCCCTTTAAAACTCAATATGTCCTAAACTACAGTTCCCGCTACTTTGGCTCTAACTGATACAAACTCTGGTGCGACCAGAACTTCAGTTGGTACCAGATCTTTGACATAATCTTTGTTTGACTTGTTGTTATAGGACCAGAAGCCGTTTTCAGACTGATTATATGTCAGCACTGACATTCAAGTACACCTCCGACACCTTCTCTCACACTGCGAGGTGAAAAACCACACAGTATGCTTGTCGATTGTTTGTCAGTCCTGAGTTGTTATTGTGCGTGGGAGGTGTGAGCCTGACTGAAGATGTTTCGTATCTCAGTCAGTTAAAACTTTCTCGACTCGGGCTGATGTGGTTCAGACTTTCAGAGGATGCCACCAGCGTTCCCACGACTTCAGACCTGTATCCTGGGACCGAGTGTAAACACACTTGAATTAGAGGAGTTATTTTAAAGCGGGGCCAAGTCAACGTTTCATCTAGGAGGATCACACCAGACGGAGATTGTTGCATTTGCTAAATTTGGAGGTTATTTTAATATGAATAAAAACACAGCAGACAGACAGACAGACAGCAGAGTCTGGCTCTCTGTCCACCCCTTCTTATTGAAACACAAATAGCAGATCTCTGGTAAATTCATCATGACAGGGGCATTAATCATCCAGTGTCCAAACCAAGGGGGACACCAATGCAACGGTGCTGTCTTTGCATACCATTCAGTTTTGAAATACTGATGTCATTTATACTTGCGGTTCTGTCCCTGCTCCTTTTCATTCATGCTGTTCATTTCTGCGACATTAGAGTCCGAGCTTTCAGTCAAGACGACATATTTTTCTGATTCAGGAGGAAAGATCCTCTGATTCCAGCGGGTTTTGGCTGCACTGATCTGTGGATTAGGGAATTTCCCGGACATGTCCTCAAAAATGAAAAAGACACAAACACTAAAACAGCACCAGATCGAAGCGTCAGGAACACAGTGTTTTTGTCACATGACTTCATGAACAATGAAGTTTTCTGTCTCCAAAAAGCCCGAGGTCATGGTCCTCAGTCGGAAAAATGTAGATTCCCTTCTCCAGGTCGGAGGGGCGGTCCTGCCTCAAGTGGAGGAGTTCAAGTATCTCGGGATCTTGTTCACGAGTGAGGGTAGGATGGAGCAGGAGATCAACAAGCGGATCGGAGCGGCATCAGCAGTGATGCAGACGCTTAACCGATCAGTCGTGGTGAAGAAAGAGCTGAGCCGGTCGATCTACGTGCCGATCCTCACCTATGGTCATGAACGTTGGGGGATGACCCAAAGAATAAAGATTGCAGATACAAGCGGCAGAAATAGGTTTCAGCCTTAGAGATAGGGTAATGAGCTCGGACACTCGGGAGGCGCTCAGAGTAGAACCGCTGCTCCTCCACGTCGAGAGGAGTCAGCTGAGGTGGCTCGGGCATCTGGTTAGGATGCCTTCTGGACGCCTCTTGTACGAGGTGTTCCAGACATGTCCCACAGGGAGGAGACCTCGTGGCCGGCCCAGGACCAGCCTGGGAGCGCCTGGGAATCCCCCCGGAGGAGCTGGTGGAAGTGACTGGGGTGAGGGCTGTCTGGGTTTCCCTCCTGAAGCTGCTGCCCCCACGACCCGGACCCAGAAGAAAACGATGACGTCTCCAAAACACAGATTATAAAGATGACTCGGAGCGGAGCATGGACATAAACCAACTATGAATGGTCAAATCTGAGTATAAATGATTAAATATGATTAGAAAATTCAAAATAATAAGGTTGCAGATGAAGATTGCCGCTTGTTCTACACATGAATAAATGTCATCAGACGTCTCTTACAGGTAACTCTAATTAAAAGGATTTACTTTGATGATTTTTAGTTTGAGCAAAGTTTGCGGTGGAGTTTTCCTTTACATTGCCCTGAGCAAATATGTCTAAGTAAGGATTGTTTGAGCAAGTAAATGAGGCGGCTCTTTGTGTAACTGAACTTTTTCACACATTCTCTTTTATGTTTGCACAACGCCTATTTTGCATCCCACCACTTCTGGTGGAAGAGTAAAATATTAAACTCTCGGTGGATGTGCAGCATTAGAGTGAATAAATGATTTGGAAAGAGGCTGTTTAATAATTATTAATGAATTGCCAACAGCAACATGACATATTTAGCTTATTTCCCTTTTAGATTTTCGGATCCAGCACCTGCACCGGAGTCCCGATTCCTTCAAAATAAAAGGTTAGCAATCACAGGATGTCATCCCCGCCACTTTAATTATGAATCAACACAATCAGGAGGAGTTTGCGGTTTGTTTGGAGCGGAAACTTTCTGTTGCAGAGTTTGTATCTCTGCTGTGTAATTGGGCTATAAAGCGAGCGTGTGGGCTTTGATGTCATTGAAGTTTGAGCCAGAGCTTTGAATTCAGCACCCCCAGTGGGATGTTATTTACCCAGCGTTTGAAAACCTATGCATTATTTGTGAAGCTGATATAATGATGGCAGACGCAACGAAGCATAACCTATTACTGGATTTAATCCTTAAAAAAGAAAAAAAAAAAAGTCTGTAAACTAAACAACAGAAATAAAACTGCGCCACGTCTAAAACTCATCAGCGGGACATATATTTGTGACATGGATTTGCTGCATACTGTGTAATCCTCTCAAAAAAGAAGAATATTTAGGACATGAGAGGATATACGTGCGATCCACATTCAATGCATGCTCCAAGGTTGCTGTTATCTATGCACAAAAACCCTGTGGCAAAAGGAGCTGATCAACATAAAAATGTTCCGAATTCTGCAGGAACAGACCAGAAAGTCAAGCGGCGGCAAGGTTGTGTTCAATCCTGCAGATCCCCGCTGCTATAAATTAAACCACGATAAGTTGTAATTATTTATCTGAGCGCCAAAAAAGAAAATAAAACAACAAAGGAGAGGATTCAACCCGAGTACAGTGACTCATAATCACATCCCTCGAGGCTTTTCTGCCACTAAACAAGGAGTCTAAATAGATAACCTAGATAGCACAGCGTGTTCCCTTATGTGTCATGCTTAAAAAAGTCACACACACACGATCACGCGAGGTAACACAGGAGACAGAGAGGCTGCGCCGGCTCCTCAGCGCCGCTTACATACAGAGCTGGACATGCATGGCTGCTGTCAGATGGAAAACATTAAAATAACATGGGACCTTAGGGGACCAGGGAAAGAGGATTGGAGCCATCCTGCTGCTTCTCTTCACTAACAGTCCCTCGTGTGTGTGTGTGTGTGTGTGTGTGTGTGTGTGTGTCCCCTCGATGACCTCTGGACTGTACGGCTAATCACATTCTGTGTGGCTATATAATTACCTTGCTCATTAGTCAAAAGCCCGGGGTTATCTTTATTAACTGCCATGCGTGGTGTTTGGAGAATGGGCACATGTCATTGTTGTGTCTATGTTTAATTAATAGTGCTTGAATGGGAGCCATGCATGGCTGTTTAATGCTTGTGAACACTGCAGACCGTCACCTAATAGCTATGGAGGATAATTAATATGAGGTCGTTTACGGTATGCCGAGTTGTTATTTACTTTAAAGACGATACACATAAATCATTTTTATCACGGCGCGGGGATGAGCCGCCTGTTTGCACGACCCTGACAGGATGCCCGACTGGAAAAACACAAACACGGACCGTTAGCTTGTATGTTCAGCGTATAAATGTTTAATTTGTACATGTCTGTGTACACATGATTGCGTGTGTGTGTGTGCAAGCTTGCAATCATTTGTACTAACCTGTTGCGAGTGATTATGAGCGTATGCAATAAGATTGATTCACAGATGAGGGAAGTTAACGCCTGCTTTAAACGAGTGAAGTAAGATGTTTTGATTGTGCAGCTGCTGCGTGCTAGCTCCTCTAAGTTCGGGGGTGACACAGAAATGTGGATTTAATGAGTCTGAACTAAATATTTTCCCTCCTGAAAATCAAAGTATTCAAATATTTATCAGAGCGATGAATTCAGGGATGTTCAAGATGGGAACGTCTGGTTTGTTCTTGTCCACGTGGAACAGAAAGGTGAACAGTCATCATGGTGATAGTCAACGAACAACTCCCTACTCACCTAGCTAAGGAGGGACTTGTTACCCAGGTATCTAGGTGGGTAGGGAGTTGTTAGAAGAGTATCACCATGATGGAAGTCAGATGTCGGAGCTGAAAATGACGCCACACCAGAGTTACCAACATTTCAGTTACCAAGTCGGGAAAAGACAAAATTAGAGGAGGAAACAAGATGGCTACATCTACGAAAGTTATTTTAGCGCTTGCCTTATATTCGGACATGGCATGTGCTCAAATAACTTTTGTAGATGTAGCCATCTTGTTTCCTCCTCCGATTTTGCTTTTTTCCAACTTGGAAACTGAAACGCTGTTAGCTCGGGTGTGACGTCATTTTAGCTACGACATCTGTCTTCCGAGGAAACTCAAACGCGTCATTAGACTTTGTCAAACCGACACAGGCCCAGAAAAAAGGGGGAAAATCTGGTTGAATTTTGTCATTTTGCAGCAATAAAGTGACAAGTCCCGCCCCAGTAGGGCTGGGCGATAAACCGAAAATTTACCGATACCGAAATTTACGACAATAACCAACTTCACTTTGCGTATGTTGGTATATTTGGTGTCAAAGAAATGAATCAAAGTTGGTTTTGGATGTTTGTAGGTAGGCTATGGTCTCATGTCCCTTTAAGACGCTGTCCTACATCAGAGACGTGACTCCACCCCAATCCAGTCTGTAACAAAGAGGGAAAGACAGGTGAGGAGATGGAGGACGATTCACGAAGTTAATGTGGGAGGGGGTGAGCAGTTTGTGGAGTAGTTATCGTCCATTTATCGTTATTGAGGTGAACTGATCAATATATCATGATATAGCTCGTATTTTTTTCAGTGTGTGACTCCAGCAGCACAGGTTAACAATTTTCCGTCTCTTCTGTTTGGTTTTTAAACTGAACGCCTCCAGCTGTCCAGCTGCCAGACTACAGAAAGTTCGCCTGTCCGCCGGCGTTGCTTTTGGGGTTTTATGACCAGAATATGAATATCTGGATGTGTCACTAAACAAACTCGTATCAGACTCGTCAATAAACTAACCTGCAGAGTGATCACGGGCGACCATAATCGCTGTATTCACCCGGATGGCCGTTAAAACGCCCCCTGGTCTCAGCGTTCTGGTATTTCATTTGTCAAAAGTGTTTTGTCCTTGCAAGGCCCCTGACCTGAGCTGACAATCTGCCTCCCACCTGTCATGTATCTCCATCGAGCGCTGAAAGAGGCTCTCATAAAACTGAACGCTCACATACACATTCCTCACATGCTGTAGATAACACACACACACACACCCTCTCTATACGTCCACGTATACAGCACCAGCTCCTCAGCCGGAGCACATGCAGGGTGTGTCTGGATTACAGTCAGAACTGCTCCGTCTCTGCTGTTTATCTTACTTATCGTAAACCTGTAGACAGTTTTCATATAGAGCCCAGATAACAGGATCTCCTGTGCGCGACCTCTGACCTCTACGCTTCCTTAAAGGATTTTCTTTCCACCAGAAGCAAAGAAAAACACCATCAGTATTCATATATTCCCGTATTTTGGGGCATCATTTCAAGGCAAACATCAAAGATTGATCTGGGAACTAAAACAGACCATATGCTGGTCCCTGGTTCTGCTTTCAGCTCTGTGTTGGTTCCCATATTTTCAAAGAGGGTTTCAGTTTTGCCAAAGGACCCTGAGAGGACACACTTCATTTCTGTGGGTTAAAGCTCGACACTCGGATGAAATCTCGATCATTTCCTGACAGGATTGAGGAGAAGTTACTGTGAAATAAATAAAGCAGAGACATCAGAGATAAGAGGAACTCACTGAGGAGGTTTGTGTCAGAAAGACCAACAATCATGAGACACGGTCTGAAAATCCTTCAAGGCAACATGAAAAA